TCCCTTTACAAGGGAAGTTGTACCAATTAAAGTAGGGGTGAATTTTAGCTGATCTATTAGTGCAGTTTCCCATCCGTGCTGATGCCTGCCTCTCCCCCGCCATCCAGGAGGGCACGTCCAAGTTCGCCACCTTGGAGATCAACCCAAAGAGGGCTCAGAAGCGGCAGCAGCAGCAGCGAGAGATGGTGAGTCTGGCACGGCCGCCCCCGTGCCCCCTCCCCGGCGGCTGCCCGGGCTGGTCCCGGCTCTCTGCTGATCCCGCTGTCCCTTGCTGTCCCCACAGGGCGTGATGCAGGGCACCATTCCCTACCTTGGCACCTTCCTCACGGACCTGGTGATGCTCGACACCGCCATGAAGGATTTCCTGGACGTATGTACCTCCATCTCTATCCTCTCCTTCCTCCGCACAGCCGCCCCAGAGCGTGGGCTGATAAATGGCGGGCGGGTCCCCCCTGCGTCCTGTGTTGGACACTGCACCCTGTGCATTCTATATTGGACACTGCACCCTGTGCATTCTATATTGGACACTGCACCCTGTGCATCCACCTCTGGCAGCCCGTGGAAATGGGTCGCCCTCGCGCTGCCCCTGGGCAGGGATGCCCACACTGCAGTGGCAGCAAGCCGGGGGGGCAGGGAGGGGTGGGAGCAATATTTTTTCTGACATTCGGCTCCTTTTTTTCCAGGGCGGGCTGATCAACTTTGAGAAGAGAAGGAAGGTGAGGGCTTTGCCCTGGCATCAGCACAGCGGGGTGGAGGGAGGAGGCTGGCTTGGTGCAAGCCCAGGCTGTGCCAGGCACTTTGGGGTTGATCCCCCTCCTTTTTTGCTCTCATGTTCTTCATTTTTGGGGAGGGGGATTCTGGTCCTTTGTATTTGTCTCTGTGTGTGGGGCTGGGCTGTTGGTGAAGTAGGCTGGGGCTGGCAAACAGATCCGGTCTCACGGCCTCTGTTTGCTCTAGGAGTTTGAAGTCATCGCCCAGATCAAGCTGCTTCAGTCAGCCTGCAACAACTACAGCTTCACGCAGGAGGACCAGTTCGTGGACTGGTTCCACAGCCTGGAGCGGCTCAGCGAGGCCGAGAGGTGAGCGTGAGTGGGGTCCGGGGCCGTGCTGTCGCCGGTGCATCGGCACGTCCCACCGCCCGTCTCCAGCTGCCCCGAGATCCACTCCCTGCTCTGCCTCCCCCACCCTGCCGGCACGGTGCTCGCCGCGGCTGCGGCAGCACAGAGAGCTCAAACCCTCATCTCTCCCCTCCCAGCTATGGGCTGTCGTGCGAGATTGAGCCGCTGTCGGAGTCAGCCAGCAACACTTTGAAGGCAAAGAAAAACACGGGCATCATCAAGCGATGGAGCGAGTGAGTCTGCTCGTCCCCGGTGGAGGGGAGGGTGGAGGTGGGGGCCAGCACAGGGTGACTCTGGCTGAGGCTTGCAGGGCACCGGGCGGGGGTGGCCGCTGTCCTGCCAGCCAAATGCGCCCTCGCTCTGCTCAATTCT